GCTGGCGCTGCCGCACAGTCATCAGCCCTTCGCCACCAGTGCCGGTCCTGCTGTCCACCACCAGTGCCAGCCCTGCCGTCCGCCACTACATCCACCCTCATCCTGGCCGATGATAACAGTGTTGGGATTTGGGAATTAGGGTTTTTGTTTTCTAAAAATTTGCCAATTTAAAGGGGCCTGATTGCAATTAAATTTGATTTTATATTATACAATTTGGTATGTGAGGCAAATGTGTAATTTAATAAATTTACGGTACCAACAAAATATTAGTACATAAAATGCACTATAAAAAAAGAACTAGTATAATTTTATGAAATTACGTGATTTTTCACCTATCGGTTCGTAAATTTACCAAAATTTATATAAAAAATATATGTTATATATATAATTTACATGAAAAGAATTAAAAAAATAATATAAATATAAAAAAATAATATTTATTATATAGTCCTGTCAGCTTGCTTATTTTATTTATTTTTTAAAAAATAACTCGGCATCAAACTGGAATAATCGAGTTTTTTTTAAAAGGAAAAAGAAGAGATAATAGTTTGGAAATATAAAAGTACGAAAGAAAAAGTGAAAATTAGTTTGGTTGTTTTCGTTCGATATTGTGCAACCTGATAGTAATTAATATGCAATTCACATAACAGTATTGTGCACTCTCAGCCCAACTGTTTTCAATGATTCATTTTAAACCAAAATAAAACCAAATCAATAATGTACGTTCGCACAAGCAATAATGTGCAGTTCGTATAACATTATTGTGCAATCTATTGATCGATTATTTTTATCTACATTTCAATTTTATAAACTTTAGTAATGTGTTTTCAATTAACATAATTTTGTATTTATCAATTTATTTATATAGTAAAAATATATTTAGTAATTGTAATTTTTTATTTAATATTTTATATTATTATTTGTTGAAAATAAATAACTGCATTTTTAAAAAAAATAATATATGAAAAACCGAATTTGATGATGTGCATTCCAACATACACGAATGTTCATTTAGTAAACATTGTTGTGCAGTATATCGAACATGTATTTTTATGTACGTTTCAATATTATGATATTTTTTTATATATACATATTTGTCGTCTATTTACGAAATAAAAAGGATATCTTTTATGCATTTCCGTCGGTTTTGTTATTTTGTTTTCTTTTTCTTTTTTTTTTTTACTTTTATTTTTAAATAAAACAAAATCGTACTAAATCGAATGCACTGTGCATTCTTTGAACACATCAATGTGCACTCGATCGAACACTTGTGCAGTCTGGTAGTCGCTAATGTCATTCGATTTAGTGTAAAAGCTACACAGGTCATTAATTTAAGAAAAGTATTGATACTAAATGATTTCAAGCAGTTGTTAGTGAGACTGAGATCTGACATCAATTCTTAGGCGATATTAGATACTCTCACTTGGTCAAGTTGTCTAATGCAGGTGTAGTACGTGGAGTTCCTAAAATCGCAATGAAGGAGCATCTTGTATGTGAACCGTGCAAGCTGGGAAAACAAACACGAGCATCACACAAGGCTTTGAATCGCATTGCATCTAAGAAAGTTCTGGAGCTACTTCACATGTACTTGATGGGACCTATACAAGTTGAGAGTTATAAGGGTAAAAAGTATATATTTGTGTGTGTAGATGATTTTTCACGATTTACTTGGGTCGATTTTTTGCGTGAGAAATCTGACACATTTGTAGCTTTTAAAACTCTTTGCTTAATACTTGAAAATGAAAAAGTTTTTCACATAATTAGCATTAGAAGTGATCATGGGCATGAATTTGAAAATAACAAGTTTTCAAACTTTTGTGACTCACGTGGTATTTTTCATGAGTTTTCTGCACCTAAGACGCCTCAGCAAAATGGAGTCGATGAGAGAAAGAATCATACTCTTCAAGAAATGGCTAGGGTGATGCTATACATTAAGAATATTTCTCATCGATGGTGGGCCGAAGCAATCAACACTGCATGTTATCTTGCTAACAAATTATACCTTCGGCGAGGTATGGGCTTGACATTATACGAACTATGGAAAGGTAAGAGCCGTAACCTCAGTCATCTACACGTGTATGGTTGTAAATGCTTTATCTATAATGATCTTGAACAACTTTGGAAGTTCGATGAAAAATGCGATGTCAGTTTTTTCTTGGTTACTCTAATACAGTCGAGCGTACCGTGTGTACAACACAAGTACCTTTACTGTCATAGAGTCCATGAATGTAACTTTTGATGCGAAGACTCCCAATGTTAGTTCATCTGGGATTATTAATATGTCGAATGATTTTTTGAGTACTCATGAAGATAAAGTTGAGAGTACGTCATAAGTAAAGGAAACTGAACGTTCATGTGACACTGGAAATGTGCAGGAGATCCACACGGAATACCATGTACCTGCATCATTAGGAAATCTGACTAAAATCACGAGGGATCCTCCCCTAAGGATTCAGAAAGGTCATCCTTCTGATTTGGTTATTGTCGACTTGAACGAGAGGGTAATAAGAAATTTATAAACTAATATTAAAAAACTTATGGGAATTTCTCACTTTGCTTGTTACACCTCTCTAGTATAGCCAAAGAATGTCAAAGAAGCATTGAAAGATGAGTGTTGGATTTTTCTATCCAAGAAGAACTGGAGCAGTTCACTAGGAATGACATTTGGGAATTAGTACCTGATTCTACATCAGGGAACATTATCGGAACTAAGTGGATCTTCAAGAATAAGACAGACGAGTTTGGGAACGTTAACGGAAACAAGGCTAGACTTGTTTCTCAAGGATACACTCAGACTTAGGGAGTTTACTTCGATGAAACCTTTGCTCTAGTAGCCAGAATTAAACCGATGCGTTTATATTTCTGTCAATTGCATGTGTAATGAAGTTCATTGTGTATCAAATGGATGTGCAATCAGCCTTTCTCAATGGGATCTTGCATAAAGAAGAATATGAAACAACCTGAAGGGTTCAAGGATCCTAGGAATCCTAATCATGTGTACAGACTCATGAAGGAACTATATGGACTGAAGCAATCACCTCGAGCCTGGAACGGCTCACGATGTACGTTCTTGAGAAGGTACATCTGTTGATCAAACTATGGGTACTCATGTCAAAATTTCCAAGGACGATGAAGGTACATCTGTTGATCAAACTCTTTACCGGAGTATGATTGGAATTCTCCTTTATCTAACAGGTAGAGACCTGACATTTGTTTTAGTGTTGGTCTTTGTGTTAGATATTCGTCTAATCCTAAGGAATCCCACTTGAAGGTTGTTAAGCACATCATTAAATATGTGGGAGGTACATCGGATTACGGTATTTTCTATTCTGCTGATACGAACTTGATTCTTGTAGGTTGTTGTGATGCGGATTGGTTAGGAACTAAGATGATAGGAAAACACATCTGGGGATTGGTTTTACATATGAACTAATCTTGTGTCATTTGTCTGCAAAAAGTAAAATTGTATCTCACTCTCTACTGTTGAAACCGAGTACATAGCAGCTCGGAGTTGTTGCTGTCAACTCAGCTGGATGAAACAAATTTTCTTTGAATATGGTATGAAGGTACATTCAATTCAACTTTTTTATGATAACACGAGTGCCATAAACATTTCAAAAAATCCTATCCAACATTCACGAACTAAGTATATTGACATATGCTATCATTTTATTCGCAATTTGGTGGATCATGGAACAATCGTGTTAGATTATGCCTACTGAAGATCAGCTTGCTGACATTTTTACCAAAGCACTTGATACAAAGTGTTTTCTCTGACTAAGGAAATCACTAGGAATGTTTATTTTGTAGTATCTATGTGTGTTGCATTATTTCTTCTTGTTCACTTTTGTATCTTTAGTTCCTCATATATGTGCATTGCATTAGTCATCGTTGTTATGAAAAGTTGTAAGTTCATCACAAGGTTCTCTTCAGTCTATGTTTAAGTGTTTGATTGATGTTTGGTATTCTAAGGATTTTGACTAACTGTTTGGTTGAGCACGGCATAATGACCATATAATTCTACTTCTTAGAACTGCACTCATGAAAATAAGTATCGGGAAACTATCACATGAGGTGTTTCTTTTCTGATCATCTGTAAAATGAGTTATGTACTTAACAATAATTGAGGTGTGATAGCTACTTGTAGTCATTGCTTAGGCGATGTAATTTCATTGGTGAATAAGGTTGGCCATTTTCTATCCTTTTTCAGCAAATGTGAAAAAGAAATAACTTATTGCAGGATGTCCACACTACAAGTAATGGGCTTGACATCGACGTATAGTTGGTGCTAGTAAGTGAAAAAGTGTGTAAGTTCATAGAACGGAGTAAACACATCATGGGTATTGATGTTGATTCTCGAACGAAAATTTCGATTATTGCTAAGAGAAATTGGTGTGTAAACTCATATTAGTTATGTGTTGCATAAAAGTTAAAGTTATAAGGTGCTGTGAATAATTAATGTCGGTTCATTCATACTCAATTAGTGTCGGTCTCATTCATTCTCGAACTTAAAATGCCACTTAATTGCATGATATGGGAATCATTGTGCTCGCATGGTATATATTTTTTTTAGGCATATATGCATATGATTTCTAGAGTGTTGAATCTTGCCTTAAGTCGTGATAATTTATTTTTGGTACTAAATCTTGACCCTTGTTCTTCAGAAGCTTAATGCGATATATTTGGTAAGTCGCGTTAATTATTTTGCAAGTGATATCTTTTTTGGAGGGAACGGTTATTACTTTTTCTTGATTGTGTGTTGCACAAGTTTGAATTTCAAACTTAAAAAAGGGGAACCGTCTGACTTCATGCCTGCTCGCAGTTAGTTTCCCGATGCCCAGCCTTTATATATTTGGCACTATCAAATCTTATTCCATCATTCATGATTTCCCTCAATCAATTCCTTGAAAAACCTAATTTGCTTCTAACCTTTCATTTCCCATCGTAAGCTCTCTCTCTTTGAAATCTCTCCAATCATGTCGTGAAGCAAACAAAAGGCTATGAAAACGAAGAAACATGCTCCTGAACCATCGACAAGGTCTACTCGCCAAAGTGGAAGTACGGAAACACCTTCCAACACTGCAACTTCAGACATGGTGGTTGAAAACCGTCACCAATTGAGACAATGGAGACTCGAGTTTCTCCAAGTCTAAAGAAGTCGTCTACATCAAACGTGGTTGTACCTGTGGTTGCTGTAAAAAAGGACGTGGAAGTTACCGGATCTCCTTCGGCTTCCAAATCACCGAAGAAATGCAAAAAATCAAAAAATTCACAACCTGAAGTCACGAAAGCAAAGAAGTAAAAAAAGTCTGATGTTTTCATTGAACCTCCGTTATTCCTGATCCTCCGCCCAAGTCCGGTGAAGAATCGTCGCCTGAATCAAGTGATGATGTGGATTCTGCAGAAAAAGAAATTGATGACTTTGTGGGTGGCGATGGCTCCTGGGACAAACCAAACACATCTGAGCAGTCTCTTGACAATAAGGATGGTCAGACAATGGCAGACAACTTGTGCCAAGGGAGGTTGCTGGTGATAATGATGTTGAATGAACTTCGCTTCGTTCGTTCCCTTATAATCGAGATTTTTTTTAGTCGAATATGATTTGAAGAAGGGTTGCATTTATTAAACACGTACTCCTTTCAGATTTTCAGGAAACATGTCAGTTGCGGCCTTTAGGTCAAAGAGCATAGTTCATTTTCATGCATTTTAATTTTTAAGCTCAACTTTTCTTTTAATTAAAATAGAAATTAAGTGGATGTCCTCGTCTATTTAATTTTATTAATAAATGGGGATTAATTAGATGTCATCTATTCAATTTTCCCTAATTAAAATTTTCTTAAATCATGAATTTTTATTAATGAATTAAAGTCTTAAGCAAGAAAGGAGAAGGAGAATTTATCTAAGAAAATATAGCACATAATTTTGGCCCCTTTGAGTGTTAAAACCGTGGGAAGAAGAAAAAAAAATAGGAGAAGGAAAGAGAATCCAAAATTTCTTAGCCATCAAATCTTGGTAAAAAGAATCATTTCCCTACAAAAATTAAGAATCCTTTATTTCCCCAAGTCTTCTAAACCTAACACTTTAAATAAGCTCCCTTCCCATCAGATTTTATTCTTCTCCCCACGTAAAATACACGAGCTCTCTCCTAAATCACCGAGCCCTCACCTAGATCCCCCAAACCCTCAGTAGCACCATCGTGCGAAAAAGCCGCACGTCCCTGCGCGGCAAGGCCAGCTGTCGCCCCCTTGCAGCAGCAGCTGCGCGTCTGCCACAGCCACACATCGCATGCCTACTGTCGAGCAGCAGCACTCCTGTGCTTGCACCACATGCCCAAAGCCAAGCAGCAGCCACGCGAGCCCCCCGCACGAAGCACCATCGTTGCGCGTCGCCTTGCCAAAGAGAACAGCAGCAGCGTCCCGCGTCCACCAGCAGGTGTACAACCCCCACATGAGCAGCAACCCAGCCGAAAAGACGTGCGTGCCGTGTTACCGCAAGCACGTATCGAGGCCACACGCCTATATCAAGTCACCCGAGAGCCACCCTTTCGAGTCATTTGGTTTCCCTTTTTCTCGAGCACGGCAAACCGATCCTTTTCCTTTTTTTGGGCTGAGATCATGTGTTATAAAATAAAGAAAAATTAAAGATTAACAAGGTTTAAAAGGATTCAAGATAATCAAGACAAGAAAATTCAAGTTTGATCTTGGTTTAAGTTGTTTTTCAAAGAGGTGTCAAAAGTATTTAAAATCTAGAAAAATTGAATTACTATGGTTTCTTAAAACATAGGATGAGCCAAGAATTTAGATCTAGTTGCATGCCGTTGAGTTTGAAGAAAAAAGATAATAAATTTTGGGTTTTTCGTGCATGTTATTTTGATCCGTGACCATGTGATTTTGATTGGAGTTTAAGGCTGAATTTTATGCTAATATTTGTCATGTTTTGGGGGGTGAAAATTGAGTTTAGTTGCTTAGTCTAAGTTGCCTTCATCTTGTTTGAAATCCTTGAATAATTGTCACGTTTAACGTATAAATTGCTGATTTATGTCTGTCTGTTCATGAGCTGTTTTGACCTTCGAACTTAGCAGGTTGATTTTGAACTCTTCATATGACTTGTAGTTCGGTTTGTTATCTTTTTGTGATCACAAGAACCATGCAAGCATCTGTTTGTCCTATTTTTGTTGCATTTTTCGTGTTTATTTTATCTTTCTTTTTCTCCCGTTTTAGGTCGTTTCTTTAGTTTTTAGTCCGTTTCATGTTTTATTATGTTTTTTCCTTCATTTTGAGTCTTTAGGTGTTTTTCGTTTGTTTTTCCGGTTTTCTTCGTGTTTTGTCGTTTTTGGTTTGTAGGTCGGGAGCTTCGGGAGAATTTTCTCTTCAGGAAAAGTTAGTTTCGTGAGCACAATTGGATAGATGGGTCCGTTAGCGATGCGTAGCAAAAAACGGAACTCAATTCCGAGTTCGGACGAGCCCAAACGAGCCCGAAACGTAAAATGGCGCAGTGCAGTCCAAAGTCGCGACTCGCGAGAGAAAAGTCACGACTCGCGAGCCACGTCGCGACTCGCGAGAGCAATGTCGCGACTCGAGACTTTAACAGAGCCTCCGACCAGCTGCGCGACCCCACGACCTGTCAGACTCGCGACTCGCGACTCGCGAGTCAACTCGCGAGGCGTGACCTGTTCGACCCTGTTTTTATTTTTCTCCGTTTTTACTCGTTTTAGCTCCATTTTTTGAGCTCTATATATAAAAACGACCCCTCAGACCTAAGGAACAATCCCCAATATCGTTCCTTTCAATTTTTCTCTCCAAAAAATCAATATTGTTAGGATAAATTTCTCCACTTTTATTTTTTTTTTTCTCTCATGCTTGGATTGTTGGACACAAAGATATTTGGATTGAAATCTTGCAACTCTTAATCCGATTGTAAGTTTTTCAATTCTATTTTATTACTGTTGATTGGTTTTATGTTCTTAATTTCGGTTAACATGAAATTGAATCTAAGCATGAAGTAATCCATTCACCTAGGGTTAGGGATTTTGATTCTTGTTTTGAATTATGAGGAATGTGTTTTGTTCAATCTATACGAGTTGTGTGAATTATAGGGTTAGTTGATTGATCACCATTCTAACCTAGTTAATCGGCGTTTAGAACCGAGAGGGGAGACATCGGTCGATTTAGGCTCGTATAGAGTAGACATGTTCGTAAAAGTATTGTCTATGTGTTGCTTATTTGAATGAGTTTATCGTTTATGTTTTTGCTCTTGTTACGAAGAGTTATTGAGCATAGCCCTCTAGACGTGTAGGCTTGTTAAATCTCGTAACCGAACAAATAAACGCTCAACATAGTTTAAGACTTGATGAGATTTCCCGACCCCTAGAACTTCTTCTTTTTCTCTAGAAATTTAATTGTTATTTCTTTAAATTGCTTTTCTAGTTATAATTTGTTTTAGTTAATTCTCCAAATCAATCGTGATTAGAGTGTTTAGGACGTATTTTCTTTTCGAGTGTGATCAAGACCAACGCTAAATTCTGAACCGTCTTCCTCGAGAGATCGACTCGGGGAATGAATCTTTTGATTCGGTACTCGGTAAAAAAATAGAATTTGCTACAACAGCATCTATTTTATATAAAAAGTTATGATCGAAATACGAACTCTGCACAAGCAGTTTTTCTGTAGAATTGGCAGCAAGTTATTGTTTAAGTTTGACTGGTTCATTGGTTTAACGTGCTTTTATGCAATCGAGGTCTTCATGAGAAATATAGTTCTATGTTTTGGGTTTCTATATGTTCAAAATTCATTTCCAAATACTTCTTACATCAAAAGTTATGTCTATTTAACTGAGACTGCACATGAGTTATGTGTATAATTTCTAACAGCAATAGAATTTGAATGTTGATTGAAGTTTCACCTTTTAAAAGCCCTTGTTTGCATTTTATGTCTAAATGAAAGTTTTAGTTTTCTGTCTTGAGATCATTTTGGGAAAGGAATTTCTTTAATACGTGTTTTCTACAAAAAGTTATATTCAAAATAAATTAGCTGCCATGGATTAGTTATCTGATTTTCAGTGGCTTGAAATTTGTGATTTGAAATGGTTACCATCTTTTGTTTGCACTCATAAGTGATCATTATCTGATTAGTAATTTAGAGTTGAGTCTTTATATGGTATGGGAACTAGTCCCTTTAAATAGAGACTTAAGCAAGCTAAGAATTCAATAATTTCGAAGACATTAAACGAACTTTGTTTATAGTTCAAGAGGAGTTTCAAGAGAAGAGCTATGAGTTGTTAATTTCTTGAAAACCAATAAATTCACTTTCCACCAATTAAAATCAAATCTCCCCATAATATAGTTTTTCGAGGAGTCGAGCCCTCGACTATTAGAGCATTTTTCCAAGAACAAATCAATTGCACTACGAGGTGAGGAATTTCTATGCTATGTTTACATTCTTTATAATTGCATATACTATGGTTGAGATCTGTAGTCTGTTTAATTATGACATACACTTTTGACAGTACCCTCTGTCGGAAGGAAACGAGAATCATAGACTTCTGGCAGTACCCATTATCGGAAGATATCAAGAATCATAGACTTCTGGCAGTACCCACTGTCGGAAGGACCCAAAAATCATAGACTTCTGACTTTTGGCAAAACCATTAGTCAGGGGGCTAGACTAGAGCAAGCAACATAGTTATCCATGTTACATGTTGATGTCATATGATTTGTTATTATAGTGAATGTTATGTAGCGGAATGCCTCATTGAGTAAGTGGAAATGCTCGCCCCTATTGTTTTCCACACCCAAGTTGATCGAGTTGGCAATGGAGCTAGAGCTGCAAACGAGTCGAGCAGCTCGCGAGCCGCTTGGGAGCACTCGAGTCTAAGCTCGACTCGAGCTCTAGTTTGACCAAACTCGAGTCAAGCTAGAGCAGCTCGAGCACGAACTCGAGTCGAGCTCGAGCCCATATTTTGCATTGTCGAGCGTCTCGCGAGCAGCTCCAGATATATGAAATTACTAAAATACCTCTTGTGTATATATGTACTTAATGGTTATTTTACAAAATTGCTTGAAAAAGTTTAAACCAAACTCAAGCCGAGCTCGAGCATTTTAAATTCGAGTCGAGCTCGAGCTCTTTTATTTTTTTTTTCGAGGTGAGCTCGAGCCTAAAAAATATAGCTCGAGCAGCTCAAACAAAAATTCAATCTTGCTCAATAAGGTCAATGCTCGACTCGGCTCGGCTCGGCTCGCTTGCAGCCCTAAATGGAGCGATGGTGAGGGTGGTCATAATAAACTAGCTTCCGAACTTTTATGTTATTAAGTTTTTTTTTTTTTTAAAACATGAGACATGATGTGAGTTTTTAATTGCATGGTCTGAGACTTGGTTTGAGCATGATTGAATTATGAACAAGTTTTATTTATGCAAGTATGATGATTATTCATAATAGGATCTATGGGATGTGAAGGGAGCTAAACGAACATAAAGTTTTAAGTTAAATCTTTCGAAGTAAGTCTTCCACATAGTTTTAAAGAAGAAATTTTA